CTAACATATGTAGATGTATAAGCGGGACATCTTCAGACCGGCTAAATAAAAAGGAAAAAGTCCCTTACCATCGATTAACTTGACCTTTAGGAAAATCTGTTTCCTAATGATCCCCCTTATCCCCATGTCATGTACTGGTGCTCGATCCTAATAGTCACCCTTTACAATGACAAATGACGAATGCAGAATGTTTCAATCATCGACCGTCAATGTTCAATATTGACTATGTTCTCCATAAATTAGTCTCAAAGAGCAACAAGCAATACTGGAATCGGAACAGAAGCCGTCGATTTCCTCATTGGGTAAAACTGAAGAAAATTTCTATTAAGCACTTAGTACGATTCAATCCAATCTTAGGATAAACAGGAATTGCAATACTTATCAAGTACTAATTAAACTTTTCCGTGTATATATATATATATACATATATATATATATATATGTATATATATGTAGGAGTGTAAAGTGTTCTTGTACGGTATGCATGCATCATCTACAATCAATATGTACATGTTTCTGGTCAAGTGATACTTTACAAATATTGGGCTTGTATTATATGTAAATGTAAGTTATTATGCGTGCAACTGGTAAATAATATCCTTACTCTAAAAGGCTTTCATGTCCTTAATGCATCATCAACAGCAACATCAACGTTTTGGGTATTAGTTGTTCTTGTCCTTGCTATTTGTATATTGCTGACATCATTTGCGCTTGTGTGTGTGTGTGTGTGTGTATGCGTGCGTGCAATATCAGACGCAAAACAGTCCCTCGCTTCACATTTCCATCTCTCTTTTGTATCGTTATTGTTGTTGTTGTTGTTGTTGTTGCTGTTGAATGAAATATAGTCTCTAGTGGTTTAAAATGACAACAAGTAAATACCAAAAGGTTGTTCGTCGTTTACAGATGAAGAAGAAAGAAGAACAAAAAAAGAAGACAAACAGTAGAGAACAAAACTCGAATAACTTAATTTCAAAGATTCCTCTTCCCAACAGCATCGTCTGCGCATTCATACATCTGCATTGTCATCATAAGTTTCAAGGTTACTCCGCAAATTATCTCTCAAAATCAGAGTTTCGCTTTACATGCTATTCAAGCTGAGTCTTTGTTTCTTTCCTATAGTTGCAAACCTTTGTTAACCGCAATTTCTAAAGTATAACCTCAGTTGGGTTGATTGGTGCGTAGTTTGAAATTTTGTCGACGCCATTTCGAACTGATGAACGACAAAACTGGAGGGCATTAGGCAAGTCATACGTTTAATTATTACATCTACCTTTCCCGTTTCGCAATGCAAACGTTGTCAAGTCAGCTTTTCTTGCGTAACCAGTGTTTTTTTTCTCTTCCTCTTCTTCGTCTTCTTCTTCTTCTGTAACTTTGTTTACTCCCTTTATATCGAAAATTTCATTACTTTTGTCTGTTTCGCTTGCGTTCGAGAAAAAAAAAAAGTTATTCTTGTCATTCATTATTTTCATGGCATGACGTGGCATTTTCTGGACATTAAGGATGATAATAATTGTAATTAATTTTAATTGCAAGCAGAATTAAGGAAGAAAGTTGTACGCATCGAGATTCGAGTTTTTATACGCAACAATATCTCGGACGTATGCATCATTAGAGGCATTTGGATATGAAATACTTACATACAATGCTTACATACAAATACTCAAGAATATAACGTTGAGTACAAGCACTTGATTTCCTTTTCAGTTCGAGACCTTGGCTGAGGTACACTTTTTTTTTAAATTCGATGCCTGATCTCTGGGCATATGGACACAGGGACAACAAAGTGCTAATTTGGTCCTTTTTTTATCAGGTTTGGGGTTGAAAGAAGAAAGTAGGACCCATAGGCCGGAGCAAGTGCCCATCTTTGTAATGGGTATGAACCATGGCCGTACAGTACTTCCTATTTCCTGTTGGCCTCATAACGTTCTCACCCAAGCCAAGGAAAATTCCTGGTTATTGTTATTTTCGATTCAATATTCAGTTGAGTTGAGTTATTGTTGCAATTTGGCCTGAAATTGTTGAAAATTGTTTACTACACGACATTCTTCGGATAACATTTACTTATCCTTCGCATATTGCATTTTTAAACCATATCTCTGCAATCCAAACGACTACATATCTATGTACATATCCAGTAAGATACTTCTGTGGATTTGTAAAGTTCATCAGCCGGATCTGCACACAAATATGACTAAACCGATGAAGAATATATTGCCCTGTACATGTAGATGTATCAATCCGTACTTTTTGCATTGCAAACGGCGGCGGAGCATGGCCTCATTTTTTGTGATTCATCTAAAAAAATAGGCGCATTTTCCATGTGTCCCTTTAAAGCGATGCCTTTAAATTTTCATTCGTTTCATTTATTGATTGAAATTTTCTTGACATTATGAGGTTTTTGTGTGTGTGTGATGATGATGATGAAATGAATGAAAAATCTTATTAAAATTAATTTGATTTTATATAAAAATATCATTTTTTTCACTTTAAACGTTAACTATATATGACATTTCATACGGGAGTGAAAAAAAAAGAGTCAACGCTCATAGTAGATGAGATAATATTCGAAATTGAATTTTTGAATAGAAAATTCTTTAATCCCTAAGTTTTAACTTTCTTTTTTTTTCCATCTCTTCGTCTTTCCAACAAACAGTTTTTTTTTTTGTTTTTGTTGCTTTTTTTTCTTTTGAAAAAAGTAAGAAAAGAAACTTTTAAGAATTTTGTTAGAAAACTACTCAACAAAACAAAGAATGATACGTAAGTTTTTATACCCCGAGTAGCGACAAATCAGAGTATGCTTACTTTGTGTTTCGGTTTGTAAAAGGTATCGTTTACATATGGGGGTAGCAAGGTATTGAGACTTGAAATTCTTGTCTCTCGTAATGTCTTCTTCTTACAATGATGACGCGTTCGTTTTCTTTTCTTATCGTTTTTCTTTTTTCCTAATTGACGACAACATCCTTTAGAGGATGTTTTCGGCATGTGTAAAACGCCCAGAGATAGGAAGTGGCCATAGCATGAAATAAGTGCAATTGGTCGGTAAGGGTTATACCTTCACCAAGTGATTCCAAGTGCATCAATTATATGGGTCTACCGTATTAGGAATTGAGTCCGAATATGACGATTTGTTAACTACGTTAGGGTAAAAATCGCATAATGCAATGGAGACGGTACGAAACTCTTCAATAACATTATACTGTGCCATTTGGTTGAGAGCTTCCAAGGTTTCGGAAGTTGTTAAATTAACTCATTCTTGAATATGTCCGTCACAGACTAATCACCCATTGCTGTGAGAGCTTTTTTGCGGCAATTCTGGGACATTTTCTTATCATCCCTTTATTTTAACAACAGAACAGAACAGAACATTAAACGATTTCTGAAATATGCATTAATTGGTCTCACTCAAGCTTTTAAATGCCTTCTAAAGGTATCCATACATTATGTGAGCAGGCGGTGGAAATAAGTTGAAATTTAATTTTATTTCTGAACAAAACGTAAAAAAAAAAAAAAACCAAAGCTAAGGAAAACGAAATAGATTAAGAGGAAAATTGTATATGTATGTGTGAAATTTTATTGAAAATATTTTAAATCAATTTTATATTTACACTTACTTAAGGATTTGTGCGGTTGATAAATGAAAAAAAAAAAGAAAAAACAATTTTGCGAACTCAAAGCATTCACCTATTAGTAGAGAAGAATCAGTATCAAGAAAATAGCTCAAGTCCGTCCAAAATAAGATTTTCTCTTCATCTGGATTTAATGTATTTACAACAAAACAATGTTCACCCTGTATATTGCGTCCGGATTGGCTTCGACAAGTCAAAGAAAAGTTTTTCACTGGCTTCTCGCTTTACATTCCTTCATAACCAAAAATGTAAGGATTTCTGCCGTAAGAAAATTCATTTCGAATAATGCTCAACAAGAGAAAACATATTTTGCCTTTTTCTCACATACAACAATTATTAAGCACATTAAAGTCAAAGTCTTATTACGGTGAAGTCTCCTCAGGATAAGGTATTTATAAAGAATAACAGTAAACCAATGATCAGATTTTTAATAGCAAATATTGTACATGTCTACGTCATATAAAAGAGAAAATTTTAAAGGGGATATTACTACCTCCGCGTTCATATGAAAAAATCTACGTAGTTTGTCTTACATAGCTCCCAGGGTTCACCAAAATAAAAACATAGCAATTTTCAGTACCGTTTAATTGTTTAATCTTATTGCCGGCATTTTAGGGAGAGAGAGAGAGAGAGACAAGCCATGTACTAAGCCATGTAAAATGCGAATTCAGATCGACAATGGAGTGGCCAGCCCGAAGTACAGCTAGGCCGGCAGCTTTTCATGCTTACATCTCTTAAGTGTGGTTATTGGGATCGAAAGTGATGCGTGCAGCACTAATGCTACGTTAAGCGGCAGTCTCGCACCAGCTGACGTCCGAACCGATTATATACGCTCGAGCAACGAAATATAAAGCCTTCAGGAGGTATGGATTTTCTGCAGAACTGCACAGGTTCACAGGCTAAAAATTCTGCGGTTTGTTATGGAAACGCTATGGAAAGATTTGCTCAGTCCCTTTCGGAAATCTCAATATTCAAGATTGCTGCCGCAGTGCGCTCAACTATTAGATATTTCTTAGCATACACATAATGTCATAATTTCATTGATCCTAATAAATGAATCATAAAAACTTTGATGAACCACTACTAAGCAAAAAAAAGGCAATTTGTAGAACACCGTCAGATCTAATAGCCAGTCACAGCTACTAAACCCTCACAGTTATGCTTCATAGAATGCATCGTTTAGGATGGGTCAAGCAAAACAAGCCTCTTAGGTTCCAGATTTTTTCCCGATTACATTAAAGTCCACGAGACATCGGTTTAGATAGCTTTTTTTATATAGATTTATATGTAAAAATATGTTAAGACAAATATATACGATGTTCACATAGAATTTAACGGATATTACTAACAATCAAACAATGCTGTATGTAACAACACCAAACGGAGAAAGTGCTTGAAATGGATGAAAAATTTAATTAGCAGCATTATGACAAGCGGGAGAGACCGATTTTAGTTTTGCTTTTTAGGAAACTTAGGAGCTGTGTCCTTGCAAATAGTCTGAGCGATAAATTCAATCAGAGTACGTGTTGGACGACCGGCCATGCCTGCGCGTAGATATTCGAAGGTGGTGCCTTTTGTAGTCATGACATTCGAAGAATCCTGCATTGCAAAGGGAGAACAAAAAAGTTTATTGTATGAGTGTATGTATGTATGTATATAAGATTATGTGATTTTACGTACAATATGCATCCATTGGCCACAAGGTACAAATTCTCTTAGAAACGCAGCAGCCTTGCATGGCCGTCCGCCACGACCAGCACCATAATTTGCTAAATCAGCGGAATCAGTTTTTGTTACTTCACTGGTGTAATAGTCCCATAAAGGCATACGCCACACCCGATCCCCCGTATGCATGCTGGCATGTTTAATTTGCTGCCATAAAATTTCTGAATTGGTGTAAACACCGCTCGCGGCCTCTCCCAAAACATCATGCGACCATGGGGATGTATTACCGACGTCGACAATGCATTTAGGACAAAAATTTTGAGCATACAATAGTGTATCGGCCAAAACTAAAATATCTTCATGATCAGTACAATTAATTTTGATGTGCTTTCCGTTCATGCTTTTCACGGTATCCCCAGGACGAAATGAATTACAGCCCATCACATTCTCGCAAAGCGGTATCAGACCTCTTATATTCACCTGCGTTTTAATAATAATTAATAATAAATAATAATTTTTTTTTTTTTTTGATTTTCAAAAAATCAACAAATTTACCGGTAAACGCAACGCCGCTACTGCTCGGCATGCTGCAACAACGACTGCTGCTCCAGTCATGTCGCCACGCATCCATTTTAGCGTTGGACAATCTTTTAGGCAAAGACCACCACAATCGTATGTTACCCCTTGCCCTACTAAAACGATCGGCCTTTCTTCGGGCGATGTTCCATAGTAACTGAGCTCTAAAAAGATGGGCGGTTCGCAAGATGCCTTTCCGACTGACAAAAAGGCATTCATTACTTGGCTCTCCGCCCATCCTTCGACTTTAACCTCAACATTTACGCCAGACTTACACAATACTTCAACGACGTTTTGGGCGAACGTGGTCGGTGTCAAAAGGTTTGCGGGCATTTCCTGCAGCTGACGTGTTAGATTTTGCGCTGCCGCTTTCTGGAGACCAATACGCCACCCTTCAAGATCGCAGACGCTTTCTTTGGTGGTGTACAGGTCAATAGCGGGTATAGTAATGCGAGCGCTTCTACTTTTTAGCTCTTGATACGCCCATATACCCAACGCTGCGCCTTCGGCGGCGGACTCAGCGTGCCCACAATCTTCGACCTCAATACGACTTGTATCTATTCTACCCAATTCCATACAGGCCTTCGCGACGGACCGACGAATAGTTTCCTTTTGCTCATCAAGTAACTCGTAAGGATTGTAGCCTAAGCATTCTTTGCCTAAACCAACGACAGCAACAGCCGAGTAGTAGGGAGTTTTATCAACTTCCACGGCAAACAGAATCCTTGCTTCGCCTCGTTTAGGCATTGGGCCTGACATGCGCAGCACCTCAATCAAACGTCCGTTCGTTCTCGAAACATTGTAGCGCCACGCTGCTGGCGTCAGAATGCCTGTATCTGTCTTATCGTCCTCATCAGCGTATACTCCCAGGACTAAACCCCGGGACGGAGAATCTGCACAGATTTCGGTGTGTTGCAATTGCAGCATCTGATTAATGGCCTGATGAGCATATCTGCGCATCGGATTAAAAATATTTGCGATGCATTTCGCGGAGGCATTCAAACGTAGCATTTTAAACATGATGGGGTGTGAAAATTACAATTTATCAATTTCTCTAAAACAAATTCCTTTAAAACGCAACCACAACCGACAGATAATTTTTTACAACTGAATTTTCCATATTTTGATATGTCAAGGCAAATATAAAAAATTTTTGGAAAGCTAATGCGATTTGAAATGATTTTCAAAATTCTTTATTTGTAAAGTGTTCTTCCGAAAGGTTGTAAATGATGGAAAATTTCCCCGGCGGCCGTGTTAAAGGATACTGAAGCATTTTTGTGCCAAAAAAATTGATCAAATTTACTGAGAACATCTTTTTATGAACCATTGCTGAAGTTCAGTACCAGCACGCAAGGAAGAAGCAATGGTCTTCTTCTCCCATCCTCCTATTGTTTATCATATAATCCTTAAGCCTGTTGATACCTCATAAACCTGAATTACTCCAAAGCATGGGGTATTCTTGCAAGAAAAACTGACTGCCAAAACTTTTCTCCCCAATACCACGATTCGCATTCGGACGGACAAGTCCTATAGACATCTTAAAAGTCGAAGATAGTATCAGAAAACTATTTACCTTTTTTGAAATGAGAGTCTGCACAGAAAATTTCCTTATCTTTTTCTCTTACGAACAGAGCCGATAATCAGCTTACTTTAGTCCAAGAATTTATTTTTCTAGGCTAACTAAGTTATATTAACAATTGCGAACACTTGAACTTTTTGTCAGCCTTAAGCATTGAGTTGGTTACTGCAAATTTTTCGCAGTGAGTGCTTAAGGTACATGAGACCACGTCGTGAAATCATTGGAAATAAACTGTGAGAACTTCTGTTCTTCAAAAGGAATAAAAAACTGGATTTCACTGTTTACATATACAAAAATTTGAAGATATAATGAGCCATGCTGTAGTACCTCCATCGGCTACGCCCACTCAGTTGTATAGTGAATTTATATATATATATATATATATGCAGTAGGCTTCAAAAACTGCATAAGGTATATAAATTCTTGGCCAGTCTCAAATCCAGAATCCCTTCAATTGTCCATCTGTCCGCCTGCGCAACTATGCAGTGTCCATGGTAAGCATTCTCCTGTTCGAAAAAACGAAGATATCGTCCACAAACTTGAAAAAGAATTTGAAAATTACACAAACTGTCCAAAGAACGCACCTATAACGCCCACTGAGTAAAACTGTGAACACTTCTGCTTACCCTGCTTTTTTCTTGTTACCTATAAAGTACAAGACACATACTAAATGAAGTTCTGTACCTTGATTCTGAAAATAGAAAAAATCAGCCGCACCCACCCGATAGTGTATTAAAATTTAATAATATTTAATTTTTTTTTTTTCGGATCGACTATGGTGCGTACAAAAGATTCAGTCACGACCGAGTATTAATTTCTTATTTGTTGTTGTAGTCAATAATTTCGAAAAGCAGTGAGAAGAGTGCGGCAAAATGAAAGCAAAATATTTTTCCTAAAATACGGAGCAATGTATCTAGGCGGATAACCAGATTCGTCTTTCTGAAGGCTTAAGATAATTATGAATAGGCGAAATAATTTCGAATAACAACATTTAATGCGGCTTATGTCAAGGTCTTGCCAAGGTTCCGCTCTCAACCGCTTCTAAAGAACTCAAATCATAATTTTTCTTCTCTTGAAATTCAATTCTTACCTTGAAAATGGGGTTTGTCTTAAAAATTGGTTTACTGTTGTGCTTTTGGAAAATTCCTCTTCTTTTTTGCTTCTTCATTACGTACTATTTGTGGAGTCTCCAAAATTCTCCATCACTGCCATCACCATCGTACTAGATAGCATTTTAGTTTTTTTGCATTGATTTTATTAGGTCGAGGCATAAGCAACTTTCGTTTTTTTATCAGACATTTATTTTGTTGGCATTGAATAATAAAATTATATTAATTTAACAGTAGACTGCGAAGTAGTCAATCTTTTTGTTGAGTGGCGGTGATTTTGCTCCAAAATTGCCTTTAAAAGGTTGTCGTCAAAGTCGGGGGAGACATCGCGTCTTTCAAGATCGTATGTTCAGAAGGGCATTTTCTAACTGACCGATCAATTATGAGCTCTTCACCGTATACGCTGCATATTTTTTCGGCTCTCGCCCTAGCAAATTAAGTTAAGCTCCCAAAGCATTATATGTCGAATAAGCAATTTTTGATTCTCCATTGCACAAGTCAACAAAGAAAGTTGAATGTAAAATGGACCACGAAAAATAGAAAACTAACTAACTCCTCCGTTTATAAGGTGAAAACCAAAAACTCGTTTGTTCCGGTGACTTAGTAAGTGAGTGAGTAAATGCGAACAATGGATACTACCTATGTAGCTGCATCGGAAGTTACTTATGACTCGACCTAATATAACCGATTAAAACCTAATTGTTTCCACCAGATGTTTTTTTGCCTTTTTTTAAACTTTTTCGTGTTCTTGTATGTTCGGCTTCGCTCTAACTGATATATCAATGTCGTTTGCCTTCTTATTCAATTTTGTTTTGCAATATGTTTATATTAGTTTTTCGCTTGGCAGCTTTATGCTTAGCGGTCTTTAGTGTTTGTTGATGTCGCATGGTGTTACATTCTCAGTTTGCCAATAAAGTTTAAATTTCACAAAATTGAAATTTTATTTGCATAAATATTAATTTTATTTTTTTATTTTTATTTTTTTTTGGCACTTGCAGCTCCCCAAGCAAAAATCGCGCTGTTTTTTTCAATGTTTCTCATGTACTCGCAAGAGATTTATTTTTAATTTTAGGATAAATTTATTTACTTACGATCGTGTGCAGGCATTTAATTTATCGCGAATATGAATCCTATAGAATGGAACGTCTTTAACGTGAACATTTTTTCGCTAATTTCAAGTCGCAGTTCAATAAGGTTACGTTCGTAGCTATGGGCGAGTAGTTGATATGATAAATGAAATTTTCTGAATTTCTGGGCAATGGCTTTGCTAGAAATAGCAAGACTTAAACTAAATTTGTAAGAAGTTCCTTAAACCCGTAATTGAACATTGCCGTCGTTGAATATATAACAGTGTACATCATTGCGTTAGAAACGCATGTAAATCAACCAACGAATATTTACTTACTTGCATTTAGCTTAGTGATTACAATTTTGCATTCTTTACAAAGTCTTAATCATCATTAAGTCATCATGTTTCATTGTTGTTTTGTCTTTCTCGGTAAAACGATGCTTGGCGTTGTTCAACTGTAGCCTTTTAATTACCTTTGATGGCAATGAGTTCGTGCAATAATCGATACATTAAGAGGAATCACGGCAAAGCGTCGTTTTACGAAATGATCTTTGCTGCCCAGTAGGAACAAAATGTTTTTGACCAGTTATCTGCTTGACTTCTAAAATTCTTTTCAAGATTGACTTCGCATTACATTAAAATATAGGATTCAATAATGATGATGAACGCGTCAAGTTCGTGCGATAGAAAACGCCGACTTCATTAACAGTGCCAGTAGCAAATTATTTCTAATAATTATATAGGAACACATTAGTGCGAAAAGTTCCAAAGCTGGAGGAAGAAATGAAAAAATGATTTCTTTCGCTTATATTTTTATAAGAAAACTTTGGAACGACGCCCACCTATTACGACTGCGTACAATTCAACGCAAATTTTGCATCCATTCAGAGTTGAATAAGCAAACTATATATGACTTTTCCTGTAGATTGTAGGGTGGAAAACTCAAAGATTTGCTTTTAAAATATTAAATTCTCTAATGAGTCGGTGTAAGTAAGGAAATTACATTCGATCTTGGCCGACTCCTTTATACCCCTCACCGCTATCCTAAAAAAGACAAAAATAGTTAAAGAAGTAAATATATAGAGAAAACGCGGCTGATTGTATTTATTATTTATATGCAGGCGTGTGGGCATTGTAGGCATGCCTGAACTAAAACTGCTTTATAAATTAGAGAAAACGCGGCCGATTGTTTCTATTTATTATTTATATGTAGACGTGCGGGCATTGTAGGCATGTCCTTGGAAGATTTTAGGGTACTTCCAAATCCTTTATTTTCACTGACGAGAAAAGGTTTACCACAAATACTACAAAGTTCCCCAGACAGACAGACAGGTGAACAGACGAACAGACGGCCGTGCTTAAGTGCATTCCAAATTTGAAACTCGCCAAGAATTTATATATTTTATGCAGGTTTTAAACGCCTTATAAAAATATTAAAAAAATACTTAATTTTTATTATAATATTGGGTAGGCGTAGCCAATTTTTACATTTTTCTACTAGTGCTACCGCATTGCCTATAGAATACGCCTTAAAATTTTTGTACATTTATCACCTGTAGCTAATGTACAAAAGAACAGTTTTTTGAAAACAGAGGTGTTCTCATTTTGCGTGGTGTTGTGGGCATGTCTTTCGACCAACTTGGCTTATTTTCATTGCCAACCTGCACGCAAGACCTTCCAATGTTTCTCGAAAATTCGAAGTCGATTGTTTTACTTTCGCGGAAAATGTTTACAACACACCTTACACAGACGGACGGACGGACCTGCTTAAATCGACTTACAATTTGATGCTGATCGAGGATATATATACTTTATGAGGTCTCTGATGCTTCCTTCTGGGCATTGCAAATATTTTGCTAATGGGTTTAAAAATGATACTAAGGTGGATTTGGGTTTAAGTAGCGTGTTACACTTATCAGTTTCGGTGGAAGTTTTTCATTCAAAATCTTTCATATTTTTGTTTATTGAAAATCATCGAAACCAATCCAATTTTAGATATCAAAAAGTTCGGCCTAAACATAGTTTGATTGCTTTTCTTGCCAAAATTAAATTAAATCATTTTGCTCAATGTTGTGCAAAAAGATTGTAAATTAATTGTCTAATAGAATTTATCCTCTCCTGTGTGTATCTTATATTATTTAAAAGACACACAATACATAATAGCAATATTTGAAGTTCATTAGAAGTTCAACAGTAAAGACTATACAAACAACTCGTGTGTACAACAAATCTACTTATACTTTTCATTTGCTATTTGCTTTTTTTTATTTTTTTATTTTTTTTTTTTATTT